GGTTGGGGCAGAGTAAACGGTCAGGCCCACTCGATAATGCCTTTTTCCAACAGAGCAGCCCTTGTCAGGGAGCAGATGTTCCTTTGTCCTGGATAAGGTTGCTTCAGTTGAAGTTGGGACACTTGCTGCATCTTTTGAATTTTGCTCTGATCCCCCCCCCCCCTTTTTTTTTCTGTATGGTACCCTCCGGGGCTATTGGCCTCACCTTCCCCTCCCCCGTTAGTTACCCCTCTAGCACCCTGCAGGACACCCCCACACTCCCACTACACTATTAAGATCACTACATCTCCTGCTCTTTGTCTTCTCTTCGGTCAGAGCTTCACTAATCTACCTCCCTAATCACACTGACACATCAAAAGACAATTTAGCAGCCAATTACAGCCATGTAAAAGACAGCACAGTGTGTGTAATGAGATAAATACAGAAATCAACCCAAACCCAATAAACCTACTGACCACAGCTGGATTTACGTAATTATCAGTGCCCTTGTTTTAACTTCCCACACAATAGTCAACGCAACACAAGTTTAGCCCTGACTTCCTGTTTTTGTGCAGGCAGGAAGTTGAGAGGAGCTGCTACTCATTTTGTGGTACTTGCCTTGACAAAATGATGCCGTCAGCTGCCACCCACTTACATTAAAGACTCAGAGTGATAGCTCAGGCTTCACTGTAACAAATCAAATTATGTCACTGGAGTGTGATGCTATTGCTGATGGGGCACATGACCTTTCTCTGGCTTTTGATGTGATGAATTTGAGGATCAGCAAGAAAAGTAAGAATCAAAAGAGGGTGGTTTTACAGCAAGCAAAACAGAAGTAGTAGAGGTGTCAAATTCGTGGAGCCTTTGAAGGTCTGATAAAGGTTATAATAGTCATTCTCCCCTTAGTTAAGCCTTGAGGCGCTCCATGTGTTGGGGGGTGGGGCATGAGGGATAAGGGGGTAGGTAGGTTGAGGGGGTTCTCCAGACTCTCCCCCCCCTCTCTTTCTTTCTTTGTTCACTCACTCCTGCTTTTGTCTGTCTCCCACTTTGTAGCCTATTTCTATTTCCCTCACTTCCAGTGTCCTTACCGGGGGTACGCTGCGCCTTCGCCCGGTCTCCATGGCAACCAGACAGGCTGCAGGTACAGGACGAGGACGAGGTGTGCCCAAAGACTCCCATAATGCAGTCTGTCTGGACCGGAGCGCGCGCTTTCCCGCCACTCCAGGGCGCGGAGGAGGAGGAGGAGAAGGGGGAGGGGCGGACCCGAGCCTCGCGCCAAAAGACACCGGCGTTATTCAAATGAGCTCAGTGGGTGCGGCCCAACTGTCTGCGTGTCCTGTTAACCCCCTCTGAGGCGCAGTCTGGAGACCTGAGCACACAAAGACAAGAGTGGGACAAGAGGGTGGACGTTTGAATTGTTTCACACATGTTCTACCACCTAATACAAGCCAATATCTGCACACATTTCAATATTTAGAAAAGGCAAAAATGAGACAAAACAGAACCCCACCTCAGCTTATTATTATTATTACTGCGCATGTTTTTAGATCTTTACCATAATTTTTCTAATACAACTTTTTTATACAATTTGATTCTTTCCGTTTTAATTTCAATGAATAATGTGATTTTTGCTGCTTATTTACAATTTATTATTACCATTTACAAGGGTGTAATGATATCCAAGTCTCACGATACGATATCGTCACGGTATGAACCTCACGGTACGATATTTATTGCAGTATCGCGGGAAAGCTCACGATATGGTGGGGAGGCTCATGATTAGGGATGTAACAATATCCAAATCTCTCGGTACGATATTTTCACGATATACATCTCACGTTACGATATTTATTGCGATATTTTTAGAGACTAATATGCTACTTTTTCCTCTTAAAATGCCTTGACAAGATTTAATCCAAAGAGCTAAGACTTAAAAGTGCTTAGAATTTTCTTCTTGTAGTCTACACTGAAATGGAGCAAAGGGTCATGGTCTTTGTAGTTCCCTCTGTCTTTTTTTTTTTTTTTTTTTAACTATTGCTGCACCATAACTCTTAATTTAAGCAAAGAGACTTGTAATTCGATATATTGTGATGGTCCACGATATTACTGAGAACTTTGACGATACGATATCACGATATTTCGGTTATTGTTACATCCCTACCATTTATATATTTTTGTTCTTTGTTATTATATTTATGTGATGTGTGCGCTACTGTGTCCAAATCATTTCTTTTGTGGATCCATAAAGTTCGTCTAGGTCAAAGTCTAAATAGACAGTAATGATTTTATACCAATAGCATTACTGCTTTTGCACTTTTATGAACTTTTCTAACGGAACTATATAGGAACATGTACACTGTTGGTTACTATTTTCATTTGTCCCCCATGTTTAAGACAATAGTCATCTACACCGGCTTCCTCTTTCAAACAGTTGCTTTTTCACATCCTCTTTGTCTGGGAGGTGCAGAGGGAAGCGTGAACCTCCAGGTATTCTTAGCACAAAGGAAGGTCAAAAGACACAGCTGTATTCTACTGCACTCTAGTGGATAAAAAGGCAAATTGCAAGGTCTCGATTGAGATTTTATTTTTTTTTTTTTTGTCAGGATTAAGAAATATGCAAGAAGTGCGAAGTAGTGGTCAGTGCAAAGGGTAGATTATTATATTTTTTTTTTTTTAACTTTTTTTCAGTCTTAAACAAGTTTATTTTTTGTTTGCTACATTCCATTTGTGTCTGTTCATAGTTTTGAGAATCAGTGAGAAAGTACAATGAAAATAATAATGGAAATAAAGAAGAAAAATAAATGAAAGTGCAAACTTGTGACTGGTGATGTAATTCCACATAACCACAAACAAACAAATACATTTCTCTTAAAAGAGTTTGATCAGATTTTAAAATTTCCAATGCTTTTTATTATTTTACTGTGACTTTCTTTAAACCCACTTAAGCAGATCACTAAAATTTGGAACATCACATACAACATAACCTACTGTGTTGAGATTTGGGGCAATACATATAAGACTAATACAAATCCAATCTTTACCTGCAAAAAAAGGCAATAAGACCAATCACATTAGCAACTTATAATGAACCAACCAATGCATTATTTATAAACCTTCAAACTGTGAAATGTCACGATTTAGACGTCCATTACTCTTTGAAAATCACGTTCCAAGTAAACAACAATCTCCTGTCAACATCATTGCAGTATATGTTCAAAATCCAAAATAGCCAATATGAGCTCAGAGGTACGGCCATGTTCATCAAAAAGAAAATCAGAACAAACTTTATGAAATTTTGTGTATATGTAAAAGGGGTGGACCTCTGGAACAACTGAACAGAAAACCTAAATCTGTGCAGCACTCTATTCCAGTTAATAAAGAAGTTTAAATGTTTAACTCTGGGCAAATACATGAATTATGAGACTTAGTTTGTGCTGTAGTATTTTCTTGTACTGTTACTGATTTGTTTGTTTCCTCTTGCTGTATTTATGAATGTGAACTGGTGTTAAGATGACGCTCTGATAAACGAATAAAGGGTAAAGGCAGAATAAGCTCAAGCTTCAGCCGACACTTTTTTGGCCTGACTATGTTAAATATGACTGTTTGTGAAATAATGTCAGAATATACCTGTGACCGAAATCAATCAATCAATAAAAAAGCAAACAAACATTAGAGCCATTACTGAATCTATGCATTTAAAATTACATTGATTTATTTAAATTAGTACTAATCAACGCTTAATGTAAATTGACTTATATACAGCCCCTGAGCACACAGTGTTACACCTCAAGACTATAGATAGTGAGATGCGTTCACTTGTTCCAGACCAGTGCTGACGTCTCCTTGAGCGACTGACCCCTCTAAATCGATAACAGCTCTCTGCATCGGGAGCCGGGGGGGAGTGAGGGGTCTTTGGCACAAACATTATTGCACTTGAGTGTGCACAATCACTCTGAGTGCCTCTTTTCTGCCTTTCCAAGCACTGATTTCTCAATGTATTTTTAATGGACTTCCATGAGGATGTAATAATCTAAAAGCAGAACATAACACCATGTGAGGCTGTGTTTTGATAACTTGCTGTTTCTAGTAACTGGTTTTGATGGGTCCATAGATTTCTCAGTCTTTCATTGTTCCTTTGTCCAGGTCCCAGAAAAGCACTGCATTGTATCTTCTTCCTTGAAATCTTCTTTACCTCCTGTTAGCAGACACAAAACATCAGACCTAATTATTTTAAATTCATTTACTATTTTCAAAGCACCACACACACTTTCATGTCTGCATCACCTGGCCCTGTTTGACTGATGCCACATTCGCATTACACCCTCCCCTCAGCCAATCATACTTCAGCCGCAGTTTCCCTCCGTTGCCTGGTAACTGGGGGTTGCGGATGTGTAACTCTATCGGTGGAAAGGATCCTGCAGCGCTGTTGTACACACACTGAGGCAAAATACAATAATGAAGATGGCGGCAGATGACCCACGGTGGACATCATTTTCAACATCACTGAACAGGAACGTGATTTGGAAAAAGCACAGCAGTATGAAATAAGGTTGTCTTAAAGTAATAACATTAGCTGCTGAAGGAAATTGCACAAAAGGTGAAACATGACTCAGTTCAAGCATCGTGACGCATTATGTGGCCTTCATTGTTCAGTAAGAGCATCTTCTAGTTGTCACTTACATTAAATCATATCTGCAGCCACCACTCCAGGAACTTGCAAGGGTTAAAAAAGGGGAGGATGCTAAATGGCTTTAAGTCAGAGTAGAACGTCGTGACATAAGAACACATAGTAACAGAAGCCGTGAGGATAAGGAGAGGGGATTAAGTCTTTCCCTATACACCCACTTGTGTATTTCCGCAGTGGTGCATTTTTTTTTTTTCATCTACGCTGCTGTCATCTTGAGAGTGCACCACTGAAATGAAATATTGAAGACAGAGTGTTGGAACAAGGGGGATAGAGCCATCACGGGACGCACTGGCGCTCAGTGTGGTCCTGGAGAGTGTGGAAGAGCTGGGTAAACATGAGCAGCGGCCAAACTCTCAGTGGAGGAAACACGACCACAAATGGCAGCAGGGGAGATAGAACTACGGTGGAAGATGCTCCGAAGCCCTCCACACCAACCAGAAAGCCACAACCTGTAAGTAATGTAAAGCAACTAGACTGACAGGATTTTGAGCTGTCATGTCAAGAATAGTTGCATTTTTGGAACGAGCCCCTGGTCAAATACAATCATGTTACGTTATAGCCTAGCATAAACAAGAATTATGTGTATGTGTAGAAGTAGAGAGCTAATGTTACAGGTCATGTTTTGGGATGCTATTCAATATGAAGTCTATTGCCAAGTGAGACAAAAGCATAGGTATCTGATTACAAATTAGACAAGATATTCTGGCTCGATTAAAGAGAAACAACATAATACCCCTCTAGAGAAGAAATACTTGGTATCTTTGTCCAGAACGCAGGCATAGTTAATAAACTAAGATGCTACACCAACATTGTTTACTATTTGAACAACAGTATTCACATGCTGACATCTATTCTTTGTAATATTCATTATTATAAAACTCAATTTGGATAGTAATAACACGTTAAGATTTTGTTAGTGGATGAATTTTTGGATGTATTGACTGGTTTCAATCATGTTTTCATATTTTTGACACGCAAAATTAGCAGTGAATGGATTATTTTCTTTTAAGTACTTTATCTGTGCAATTGAATTTGAAAAAGGTCAAGACACCTAGTTAAAACTACTCTATACAAGCTGTATTATGTGTTTTACAAATATGTTTAATAGTGAATAGCAAGCTAAAGAGTTAACAGGTGTCAGTTCTCTGGCATGTCACTATCAAAGTCAGCCTCCGGAAAGTATGTCCTATCAGCCTGCTGTCACTATGATGCTGTTACGTCACTACTCAAAACATTAGCAACAAAAACGTGGACAACTTATAAAGCTTAGATGATTAAAAACAAAAACAAAAAAAAGATTTGTGTTTTGACCATTTTTGTTTCTGTAGCCTAAGTCGGAGAATGCTATCACCATCGCAGTGTCCTCTCGAGTTCTCTTCAACATGGAGAAGGAGCAGAGGATCTTTGAGGAGCACGGCATGGAGGAGTACATCAAGTATCAAGTGGACCACGAAACAGAGCCCTTCAGCCCCGGTCCAGCCTTCTCCTTTGTCAAGGTAAGATCGCTAAAAAATACTAATTAAATTAAAACTTCTTGTCTGTTATCCAAAGCTGCATCATATTATTAAACTTAACGTAATGTTTCTGGTTGAGGTTTCTTCACCTGCTTGTTTCTACGGACACTGTAATTTCTATATATGATATTAAACAGCTCTACCTTACATTTATTCAATTACAGGTGGTTTTAAAGCTCAAAAATACCTAGAAAAACAGGCATTCTGATTGTGAGCGGGGTTGCCTCGCCACAGATCTGATCTGAAACTTGTTCTGGTTTAGTCTCCATGAAGATAGAAAGGTTCAAAGCCATACTATGAAACATTCCAGACAAAGTGATAAAAAAAGCATTTGACGGACCCTTCACAGGGTGACTTGGTGCTCCCTTAGAGATAGGGTGAGGAGCTCAGTCACACAGGAGGAGCTCGGAGTAGAGTCGTTACTCCTCCATGTTGAGAGGAACCAGTTGAGGTGGCCCGGGCGCCTGTTCCGGATGCCTCCTGGGCGCCTCCCTCGGGAAGTGTTCTGGGCATGTCCCGCTGGGAGGAGGCCCTGGGGAAGATCCAGGACACGCTGGAGAAATTAAGTCTCTAGGCTGGCCTGGGAATGCCCCAGAGACCCCCGGAGGAGCTGGAGGAAGTCTCAGGGGTGAAGGAAGTCTGGGAGTCCCTGCTTAGACTGCTGCCCCCGTGACCTGGCCCCGGATAAGCGGAAGGAAATGGATGGACCCTCCACCAGAAAAGTTACACAATGCACCTTTAAGTATGTTAATTAATGGAATATGAACTATTAGTCATACTTTCTTATTTCTTATTAATCAAAATCTTTAATAAAAAACAGCAAGGACTGGGCCAGAACTAAATAAGGTTTAAACTCAGACCAGAACTACACAAGAGAAACCCCAGTGTCGGCAGATAGCACTAGGTGTCATATCATATCATATCATAAAAGAAATCAGAATTGCAAAGCAGGATTGGTGCATTTCTAATCAGGATTTAGCACATGTAAAAACTGAGTGAACCAGCTACAAAAGAACTAAAACACAACTTGCCCAGAACCACATGAAGTCTAAACCAGGACTAACTAATTACAAAATTTGCACCTTTTTCTCGTATACAATCCTATGATGAACACTATCATAAAATACATTGAATCTATATTGTGCAGTCTCTCTTAATCCCTATATTTGTGTGGGCAGGCTCTGGAGGCAGTGAACGCTCAATTAAGAGAACTGTACCCATCCAGTGAAGAGCTCTTTGATGTGGTGCTTATAACAAATAACCATGCATACGTGGGCCTTCGTCTTATCAACACCATCAACCACCACCGTAAGTCACAAGTGAGCGCCCCCTTGCACTATATACATTATGGGTGCAATAGCTGTGGGGGAAGGGGGTGATTTTTGTTAATATATTTTTACATGGATATCTTTGACAGTCAATGTTTACTAGAAGTAAAAGAAAGTATTTATTTGTTGGTATATTAACAACATTTTTCAACATTTAATATTAGATTTAGAAAAAAATATTGTGAATAATTTTAAAGTTTATGGTTAATTTTAGGGTTAGATCATGATAAAATAATAAAAGCTTTTCTAGTTTAATAAGTGCATTGTAGTTACTATATCTGTTTTAGGTTTAATATGTTTGTAATATGATGCAATGTATTTAGCGATAATATTTATTCTCACACTGCCCCCTTGTGGCTTGGACAGAGCAGCACATCTGTCTTATTCAGTACAACAATTTGAAAAATAAAATATTGCATTTTCAAACTGTGATCTTTACATAATTAATCTTAAGATTTTATAATCTAACCAGCCCATAAAAGCAATTTGTATGCACCCCAAAGAAAATCTACACATGAATGTCTTCAGTCAATCAATCTTCTATTTAATGTGATGCATATTTGGTGCTACTGCATATGCTTGGCGTACATTCTGTGACATACTATTTAAAGTTGTACAATGTAATTTTTCTAATGAAGGGTCCCGTGCCTGCTTATTTCCATGGAGATGTCAGTGCAATCCCTCAGTCATCTAGGTAGGACTCAAAGTTAAGAAAATTCCGTTCTGTTAACTGGACAAAAGACATTTCGTCACTCATCCAATCATCTTCTTTAGTTCTGCTCAGGTTACTGGTGGGACACTGCCTTACATCTGTCTTATATCTCTTCACTCTAAAACTTTAATCCAGTTGACAGAATTGACATTTCTTTGCTATTGACAGAAGTGGGACTTGCAAGTCGTGACTTGGACTTGAGTCAGACTTGAGTCACTATTTTTAGGACTTGAGACTTGACTTGATAAAATGGGCTAAGACATGGGACTCGACTTGGACTTGAAAGTCAGTGACTTGGGACTTGACTCAGACTTGAGCCCTGTGACTTGAGAAGACTTGAGAAGCACTTTTAAATTTGAATTCTTTCTATTCTGACCATAATGATTCATACTAAGATCTTGTCAAAACATTTAAAAAAGAAAAATTTACATTTCTACAACTCTTATAAACTCTATAAATACTCATATATAAATACACTATGATTTTTTAAGTACAAATTTATTTAAAAATCACATAAATTGCTTTGATTTAATGACTTGAAATGACTTGAAGCTCAAAGCAGATGACTTCTACTTGACTTGGACTTATGGGCCGGTGACTTGAGACTCGACTTGGACTTGCCTGTATTTGACTTGGGACTTGACTTGGACTTGAGGTCAAAGACTTGAGACTTACTTGATACCTGCAAAACACTGACTTGGTCCCACCTCTGGCTACTGGTCCTACCTGGATGACCTGGCATGTTTCACAGTATGGTATTTAACGTATTTATCTCAATGTAAACAAACACTACCAGGACAGTTACAGGTCAGATCTATGGAACAGCAAGCCTGCACATAATAAGAATGATTGTTTTCCATGACCAATACAAACACATGTGATAGGCTAGTTTAATGCCATTGTGGAATATTCCTGGAAAAGTAAAATCATCATCATCATGTGTAGATTTACCCTATGAACAAATTCTGTTCTACACAATCTTCTCTCCATTCCCACACGGCCACTGACTCATCATGACCCAGTTTCCTTCCCCAGGTCACACAGGACACCCTCAAAGTGGACCTAGGACAGAGCACTGGGATTGACATGACAAGGAAATCAGTCAAAGAAACTGCACTTGTTGTTAGTCTACGTTTTAGTAGGGATACAACGATATTTCTTGGTACGATATTACGGTAGGATATTTATTGCGATATTTTGGAAATGTTAATATAACTGTAAATAGGACACTTTTTTGCTTTTAAAACACCTTGACAAGATTTTGGTGTGAATTATTTCTGTCATAATCCCAAGAATTTAAGTAAAAAACATATTTCTTCATGTTGTCTGCACTGAAATGAATCATGGGATATGTAGTTTCCGATGTTCTTAAACTGTTGCTTCTATAAAACCATTAATTTAAGCAAAGGAACTTGTAATTCGATATATTGTGACAGCCCACGATATTATGGTGAGACTTTTGATGATGCAATATCACAATATTTCAGTTATTGTTACATCCCTAGTCTTTAGGTCTCAGGTCAGGCTCTTAAATGATAAAAAGCTGTCACTCAGGGTAGTTCTGATTGGGCGCTCTGTAGGAAAAAGAAAGCAGACAGCACACACGTCTGTAGAAGGTGACATTACACTGCTCCAAAACATGACTGCAGTTGCACTGTTTTTGTTCCTACTTGCAGAGTTATTGATTGAGCGCTTCTGTATGACTGGAGGGAAAAGCCCAATAGGATATTTAAAGGCCTACCACAAACCTGTACCTATCTGCAGATTCAAGCAAGGTCCGGGAAGCACTGGAAGAAGGTACCAAAGCATTTTATAACTCTTGAATGAGCAGGTAACAGTACTAAAAAATGTTGTTAAATAAATACATTCTCAAATACAATTGGTGCCAAAATTGTACTTACGAAAACATAAAATACAACTCAAAGTACTAGTTATTTTAGTCATTTTTGTTGCGTTTAAGATCAAAGTTTTATAAAGAGTTTTAAGTTGAATTAAATATTTTTAAAACCACAATCTGTGGATTCGCTGAGCTCTCATCAATTACAGACAATTACAATTAAATGGCTAGAATTATAGGCCAGAATTCGTTATTTTCCACCCCTGGGTCACGTGGTGCTTTGTGATGGCAGGTATAGCAGCGGCCACAATGTTCACCCCAGATAAGATCACTGAAGTGTCCGACGTACAGCTGCGCGTGGCCTTCGACGGCGACGCGGTCCTGTTTTCAGACGAGTCAGAGCGCATTTACAAAGCCCATGGACTGGACAAGTTCTTCGAGCATGAGAAGGAGCATGAGAACAGGCCCCTGGACCATGTAAGTACTGCACAAAAGAATAAAGTGGAAAACTAAAAACATGCACAACATGCAAAATCCTCCAGCTTGATATTCCTGGCCAAGTCAAGACCATATCTGCAGACGGACTGTTGCTTTGGCAGCATTGGAGGATGGGGCAAATGCAGAAGACACATTTCCTCACGGAAACAATAAAATAAACTTAAAAAGGTGCACAGCGTAATTTTTTTCTATAATGGCCCGCAGTCTTTTTATCTCTATGTTCTACACTAACACAGTCGTAACACTACTCTAGCTTGAATTAAAAAAATATCTTTCGTCTCCTTCTTGTTCTTCCGCATAAATCACTGACATTTCACGTTTGACATTTGATTAATTTCAGTCCAGTCCAAACATATTTAACCACAATATTCCAACGCGCAAACACATGACCACCTCACACGTGTTTTAAAATGTCTAACTCTTCTCCATGCAGGGGCCCCTAAAAGGCTTCCTGGAGGCACTGGGAAAGCTGCAGAAGAAGTTTTACGACAAAGGTCAGAGAATGGACTGTCCCATCCGCACGTACCTGGTGACGGCCCGAAGCGCCGCCAGCTCCGGGGCTCGGGCGCTCAAAACCCTTCGCTCGTGGGGCCTGGAGATAGACGAGGCGCTCTTTCTGGCGGGGGCTCCCAAGGGCCCCATGCTGGAGAAGATCCGGCCACATCTCTTCTTTGACGACCAGATGTTTCATATAGAGGGCGCTGCTGAGCTGGGAACTGTGGCCTGTCACGTGCCCTATGGGATCGCGCAGAAAGTGGCCAATAAGGGAACAAAACCTCAGGCTCGTAATTGATTATCTGGTGCGGAAAAGACTTTTTTTTTTTTTAGCATGTAGCTGTGTCACCTTTTTGTGGTGGTGCCATTTGGTATATAAAGAAAGAAACATTTATTATTTATTTGTAAACCTTATGCGAAATTATTTATGTATGGCAACTTCAAGTAAAAGAGTATATCTAAAAGAGTCAGAAATAAAATAAAATTATTAAGCGTAAAGGCTAAAGAGAATATAATGAGTGCCTTATCAAAGGAGGTGTTCACAATGGTCATTTAGTTATAGTACGAAAAGTCAATATTTTAAAAGAGCCATATAAAGATTAAATGTTATACTAGTATATATATATATAAAATTTGAAATAGGCTATAGTTTAAGAAACAAATCAAACAATCATATTTTTTGTTTTCTATGTTCATTTGTTTTGAAATGGGTGCCTTTTCTGTCTTGCATGTTGTTTGTGTGCTACAGTCTATAATTTTATATTAGTTTTGAGTTTTGACTGTGTTGTCTTGATGTGTGTGATGCATTGGCTATTCTGTGGATTCAGTCTGAATGAAAGGAAGGTGTTATAAAATATATAATGTGAATTTAAATTAAAAAAAAAAAGCTTCTGAAATGTGTATATTTCAGTCTATATTGCATTTTTTTTTTATATAACCCTAATCATTTATAAGCTAATAGGGCTGTATGTATTATATATTATTTGCTGCATTTAGGTCGTTTTCACACCGCTAGTTCGATTATTTGGTCCGCACCAGGCAATAAAATTGTTATTATGTAGCAAATACACTCCAGTGTGGTCCGTGTTCACACCGGCAAACGAACCAAAACTGGTTCGGTTGACGTGTCTCTGTTTCCCGGGAAAACAGCGATACTCCAGTTATCAACACCGATGTTCCTGTTAAAACCACGGGCCATCCTCATCTCAAATTATCATCATGAACTCATAAAACAGCAACATGTAGAACTTTGTTCAAACTCACCGCACATCAGTCCTGAGTTAAGGTAACAGCAGCAGCCAACAGCGCTCACAGTAGCGCGCAGCTCCTCAGGACGGGGCTGGGGTCTGGTCCTTGGTCTTCTGTCGTCCTACAAGCGCGTTGGTCAGGTAAGTCCGGAGGCTCTGTCCTTCATGTGCTGGTTCCAAACGGTGGCGAGCAAGACCAGTGCGCAGTGGACTGGGTCTAAGCGGGAACGTTCCGTCGTCTGCGCGCTGGTTCTGTGCGGGGAAAGTGAGAATGCGCTGTGGACTACAGGTCTGTGCGGGCTACTCCGGTTCTCCGCGCTCAAGAATCGCGGCTGGTTCCGAGGTAGTGCAGCATCCGGACAGAAGCGTGAGTCCAGTTTGGTTTGTTATATGTTGTTCTGACAGCAGACGGGGAACACCGGGGGCTTGTCTTTTTGACTCACTCTGGAGCCACACGTTCGCACATTGGTACTTGCTCTGATCTTCGTGTGTTACATTCTCTGTATTGGCCATTGTTGGTAAAATAATTCGAAAATGAATCGCGTCTGCGTCTGGACAACAATCTGTTACTGCGCTGGAGTCGTACAGCGCGTCATTTCAGGCAGAGGAGACGCGTGTCCCTCCCATGATGCATTTCGAATAGTCCGTTTGTCCCTAAGGGTGTTTTCACACCGACAGTATTTGGTGCGCACCAAACGGTCCATTCGAACCAAAAGTGGTTAGTTCGGTTCGTTTGCGTTGGTGTGAAAGCGTCAATCGGAATCGGACCCGAACCAAATCAAGCGGACCGAGACCGCAAAAAAGAGGTGGTCTCGGTTCGCTTGAATCCGCACCAAATGACCAACTTTGGTGCGGTTCCTCTGGTGTGAACGCGAACCCGGGTCCAAACCATAGACAGTATGGACAAACGGACTATTCCAAATGCATCATGGGAGGGACACGCGTCTCCTCTGCCTGAAATGACGCTGTACGACTCCAGCGCAGTAACAGATTGTTGTCCAGACGCAGACGCGATTCATTTTCGAATTATTTTACCAACAATGGCCAATACAGAGAATGAAACACACGAAGATCAGAGCAAGTATCAGTGTGCGAACGTGTGGCTCCAGAGTGAGTCAAAATTGGGGGTGCGTCCCCCTGTTCGGGACCTACACGCACAGAGACGACCCGGTGTTCCCCCGTGATCACACAGCAACCAACATTTGTTATTTTAGGCTTTAATTAACCAAATAATTTCATGGCAATAGGCAATCGCCCATTCAATTGATACAACTTAAAAAAGTCCCTGCTTTTAGCCTAGTGTGAGAAATACAGTCGGACTAGATCCAAACCAGAGTCCCGAACCAGCGGGAGCAGCTCCGGTTCAGGCCGGGCTCAGAGGAGCTGGAGCGGGGAGCCTCGACCTGAGGAAGAACTTTCCCCGGGAAGAACCAAATGCGCCAAGGACTGACCGTCAGAACAACATATAACAAACCAAACTGGACTCACGCTTCTGTCCGGATGCTGCACCACCTTGGAACCAGCCACGGTTCTGGAGCGCGGAGGACAGGAGCAGCACAGACCTGTAGTCCACAGCGCATTCTTGCTTTTCCCGCACGGAAACAGCGCGCAGACGACGGAACGTACCCGCTCGGACTCAGTCCATCAAGCACTGGTCTTGCTCGCCACCGTTTGGAACCAGCACATGGAGGATGGAGCCTCCGGACCATCTGACCAATGAACTTGTAACAGACCAAGGACCAAGGACCAGACCCCAGCCCCGTCCTGAGGAGCTGTTGGCTGCTGCTGTTACCCGAACTCTGGGCTGATGCGGTGAGTTTGTACAAAGTTCTACATGTTGCTGTTTTATGAGTTCATGGTGATAATTTGAGATGAGGATGGCCCGTGGTTTTAACAGGAACATCGGTGTTGATAACTGGAGTATCGCTGTTTTACCGGGGAAACAGAGACACGTCAATCGAATCAGTTTTGGTTCATTTGCCGGTGTAAACGCGGACCACACTGGAGTGTATTTGCTACATAATAACAATTTTATTGCCTGGTGCGGACCAAATAATCGAACTAGCGGTGTGAAAACGACCTTAGAATCATGCAAATGTCTATGATTAAGTTGTTTCAAAAACCTTCAGTTGAATATTAGTTGAACCATGCACCAAATGGCCATTATCTGACTCTTGCACTTGTGTTATTTTTAGCCATCACGCTTGACAGTTTACCACATGTAAGTACAGTTTATTTAATCCACAGAAGGGCACTATGAATAATTAAGATCAGTTTAAAATATTATTATAATAGGGCTATATGAAGCTTTGTGATGTCACGTTAGAATTATGAATTCTAGTTTCAAATCCATCTTGGTGTTTTGTTATACCACATTAATACATAACATAAAGATGCACTTCAATTATAGTAAACTCACTGAAAAGGGTGTGTGGTTTTATTAGAAATTATAAAAACAGGACTCTTTTAAAATATACAAATCATTTATTTTTATTAAGACCATTTTAGTTTTGACAATGGTAATGGATGTAAGTATCCATTATGTTTAGTCAAATGTAGTATTCCTCGATTTGTTGTTAGTTTTACACGATTGCAGCAATAACAGCTCCCACAACCCCTCCAGCGCTGCCAAGAGCCGCTGTAGCAGCTCCACCGAGTCCAGCCATTCCTGCAGACACACAAAACACATACACATTTGATTTGTTTGTGTTGTTTTTTACTGCAATGTTTGAAATGGTTCATCTGGTAACAATAAAACATTCGAATAACAATGTTTCTTACTATCATTATTTACTCTCTCTTTAAGATTCAGACTGTGCCATTCTCCACCCATCACCAATCACTCATTCACCCCAAACTGTCAAAGTGGGTGCAGTGTCTTGCCCAAAGACACAACAAACTACTATAAATAATGGATTTTCCTTACCAACTGACTGGAGAACAGCCACTGTGCTTCCAGCAGCCACTCCTCCTCCATTAGCAATGGCTGCAACTGACATCATTTTGGCTGCTACGGAACCAGCCACTATTCCTGTTGCTCCAAAGCCCACTGCTCCCAGGACCAACGGGACTGCAGCCACAGAGCCTGCTACTCCGAGGAAGAGAGAGTCAAAACATTTTTCAGCAAAACTATGCATAGCCTACTGTAGGCCTACACATAGTAGGTTATGAGTCTTGAAATTTAGTCACCCTAACATCTAGACTACTTTAAAATACAGTCTAATCACCATCATCATCATCATCATAGGCTATTCAAAATCATAGGCCTTATGAATCTTACCTGCTCCGGCAGCAATTGCACAGAAACTCACTAAAAAAACAAAAACAAAAAAAAAACTTAGTGGAAACAATTTACCAGTAATAAAAGTAGCCTAAAGACACATGCTCTGGTTTAAATAATGCCAAAAAAAAAAAAAAAAAAAGGTTAATACTCACGTAACCCCATAGTAGCCAGAAACTGTAGGATCTCTGCGCAGTCGAGTTGGTGCTCTTTATATATAGAGAGGTTTCGGACTTACAAAGAAACGAAACTTTAAATAAGAAAAGCGAAACTGACCAGCAGAGGGTGCCTTATCAACCCGAAAGTTGTAAAAAAACAAACAAAAAAACATCAAGTTCAGGTTAGGTACACGATAAAGCATTGAGAAACATAATTAAACATTGAGAAACACAATTATGCCACTAAAATCACTTCAAAAATAAATTTCGTGACTCATCCAATCGTCTTCTTCAGTTCTGCTCAGGTTACTGATGGGACACTGTCTTACATCTGTCTTAAATCTCTTCACTCTAAAATTTTAGTCCAGTTGATAGAATTGACATTTCTTTGTTACTGGTCCTACCTGGATGACCTGGAATGTTTCACAGTATGGTGTTTAATGTATTTATCTCAATGTAAACAAACACTACCAGGACAGTTACAGGTCAGATCTATTGAGTGGCGACCCTACAAATAATAAGAATAATTGTTTTCCATGACCAATATAAACACGTGTGATAGGTTAGTTTAATGCCATTGTGGAATATTCCTGGAAAAATAAAATCATCATCATCATGTATAGACTTACCCTATGAACAAATTCTGTTCTACACAATCTGTTCTCTCCATTCCCACACGGCCACTGACTCATTATGACCCAGTTTCCTTCCCCAGGTCACACAGGACACCCTCAAAGTGGACCTAGGACAGAGCACTGGGATTGACATGACAAGGAAATCAGTCAAAGAAACTGCACTTGTTGTTAGTCTAAGTCTTTAGGTCTCAGGTCAGGCTCTTAAATGATAAAACAGCTGTCACTCAGGGTAGTTCTGATTGGACTCTCTCCAGGAAAATAAAAGCAGACAGCACACACATCTGACATTACACTGCTCCAAAACACACAAGTGCAGTTGCACTGTTTTTGGAGGAGGTAACAGCAGTGGTGGTAATAGTACAAAAATGTTAAGTAAATATGCAGTTACATGGATAAAAATATACTCAAATAAAAGTGGTGCCAAAATTATACTTATGAAATCATAAAATACTACACAAAGTACTAGTTATTTTAGTGATTTTAGTTGCCTTTTTGATCAAAGTTTTATAAAGAGTTTACAGTTGAAATAAATGTTTTAAAACCACAATCTGTGGATTCTCTGAGCTCTCATCAATTAGAGCCAGTTACAATTAAATGGCTAGAATTATAGGCCTTTTCCATTTATACACCTGAATTTGTTATTTTCTGAGTCAGAGTGTATTTACAAAGCCCATGGACTGAACAAGTTCTTCGAGCACGAGCATGAGAACAGGCCCCTGGACCATGTAAATACTGCACAAATGAATAAAGTGGAAAATTAAAAACATGCACAATAGGCAAAATCCTCCAGCTTGGTATTCCTGACCAAGTCAGGCCCATATCTTGAGACGGACTGTTCCTGCACTTTGCCCATGACCTACTACGCTATAATATATGAATCAAATCAAGCAATCATGTTTTGAATATGCATAATTGAATACTTTCAATATGTGTTATGGCTGTGAGTGAAAAGGAAGGTGTTATAGAACATGTAATGTGTATGTACATTAAAAAAAAAGTTTTGAAATGTTCATATTTTAGGGCATATTGTTTAATATAATACCTACTGTTTAATATGATCCCAATCATTTACAGTAGCTGTAGCAGCTTATGTATTGTGTTTGCTTCCATAAGAATCAGGCATGTGTCTATAATTACGTTGTTTGAATTGAATCTATCACATAAAAATCATAACAAGCTTCAGTTGAATGTGAGCCCCATGAGACAAATGGTCAATATCTGGCTCTAATACTTGTTATCTTTACTTTTATCTTTATTATTCTCCCAAAGGAAAAGTGTTGTGCACACAATAGTAGCCTTAATCACAACTTAGACTCACACTTGGACATGGAGAAGTACATTCCCTTTAATAAAAGATCCGATCTCCTTGAAGAGTGCGTGGTTTGGGACAATATAAAATGCAAGAACTGATTCAATAAAAAATAAGGTCATAAGATTATTACTTGTTGTTGAATTTTTCAGCTTGTCCAAGAAAGGGTGAAAGAAAAAGGCTGGAGACCAACTGGATGTCTTACACAGGAGGTTTATTTACCATTAGTAATATGGGCCCGGGGGGCCTTAAAGTCAACATAGTATGATTTCAAAAAGTGAACATAATATGATCTTTGAGTGTTCAAGCCCCTTGACTATGATTCCAAAGGAGGAGGTTTAAAAGCCAGTGTGGTGAGCCTATGAAGGCCAGTAGACACCAGTTATATGTCACAATATGCCACAATTTATATAGTGGTATGCCAATGGTACGTGAAGGGAAGATCATGATGTAAATACAGCTTTTGTGAGTCAATGTTAAACTGAGATGTAGGTGGAAGATAAATTACTTTAATTCTCTTACATTATTGACATTAAAAAATGTATTCCATAAAAAGAGAACCTTCTTGCAGTGGTGGTTCAAAGGGCACTGTCAATAATTGTCCCCAAGTAGGCTATTTATATTCAGAGACAAACTAACTTAAATTAAATGATAGAAAAGTAATTGATTTTTGATAATGGCACCAATCATCCAATAGGTTTTGTCTCATGTAATATTCATTAACGTCTGATTTTAGAAACAACAGCTCCCAAAGCCCCTCCAGCAGTGGCAACAGCCGTTGTAGCAGCTCCCCCGAGACCAGCCATTCCTGCAGACACACAATACATATCATTTGTTAAGTTAGTTTTGTTTTTTACAGCAACATTTGAAATGGTTCATGGTAACAATAAAGCATTCTAATAACAATGTTTCTTAAACCTTCAGATGGTCATTATTTACTCTCTCATTAAGATTCTATCCTTGGGCCCTGCCACAGCTGCCCTGGAGCAGACTGTGCCATTCTCTACCATCGGCCCGTCCACCCATCACCAATCACTCATTCACCCCAAACTGTCAAAGTAGGTGCAGAGTGTAAAGACACAACAAACTACTTCATAAATAATGTATTTTCCTTACCAACTGACTGGAGAACAGCCACTGTGCTTCCAGCAGCCACTCCTCCACCATTAGCAATGGCTGCAGCTGACATCATTTTGGCTGCTACGGAACCAGCCGCTATTCCTGTTGCTCCAAAGCCCACTGCTCCCAGGACCAACGGGATTGCAGCCACAGAGCCTACTGCTCAGAGTGAAATATTTCAAGAGTTTTTATGATAATAGATAATAAAAACACAAAATTCATCGTCTCAGAAAATTACAATATTACATAAGATAATTTTTTAAAATTAGATTTTAAACAAAAATGTCAGGTTTCTGAAAAATATATTAATTTCTATGTACTCAGTATTTGGTTGGGCCTCCTTTGGCATCAATGCACCGTGGCATGGAGGCGATCACCCTGCAGCCCAGGTTGCTTTGATAGGGCCTTCAGATCATCTGCCTTGCTGTCTCTGGTGTCTCTCATTTTCCTCTTGACAAGATTCTTTGTGGGGTTCAGATCAGGCGAGTTTGCAGGCCAATCAAGCACAGTAACACCATGGTCAGTGAACCATCTTTTGGTATACCTTTGGTTGTGTGGGCAGGTGTCAAGTCCTACTGGAAAATGAAATCAGCACCTCCATAAAGTTTGTCAGCAGAAGTAAGCATAAAGTGTTCTAAAATGTCCTGGTAGATGGCTACACTGTCTGTGGACTTCAAAAGATACAGTAAACCAATACCAGCAGATGACATGGCAGCCCAAATTATCACTGACTGAAAACTTCACACTGGACTGCAACGTGGATTCAATGGCTCTCCACTCTTCCTCCAGACTCTTGGACCTTGATTTCCAAAATATATGCAAAATTTACTTTCATCTGAAAAGAGGACTTTGGACTACTGAGCAACATTCCAGTTCTTTTTCTCCACAGCCCAGGAAAGCAGCTTTGACTGTAATGGCTCTTAATGCACTGACTCCAGCCTCAGTCCACTCCTTGTGAAGCTCCCCCAAATTCTTGAATGGACTTTGCTGGACAATCCTCTCAAGACTGCAGCCATCCCTTTTGCTGGTGCCCCTTTTCCTACCACACTTTTTTCTTCCACTCTGCTTGGAGTACTCTGCAAAGAACCAGCTTCTTTAGCAATGACCTTTTGTGGCTTTCTCCATGTGGAGGGTGTCAGTGACTGTCTGCTTAACATCTGCTCAGTCCACAGCCTTTCCCATGTGTAGCCCACTGACCCAGAGTAAGACCATTTAAAGTCTCAGGAAACACCACAACTTCCCAGTATTCAGCTTTTTCACACTATTCTAATTGTCTGAGACACAGAATTTTGGGTTTTCTTTATCTGAAACCCAAGAAAGAAAGGCTTGAGAGCTTCACTGGATGTGTTATGAATCTATAGGTATAGGTATATAGGTTGGACTTTCTGAAAATACTGAACTTTTTCATGATATTTAAATTTTTTGAGAGGGACTAATGAGGCTAAACCAGGTCTACAAGTGGATTACATCCTTCCCACTGTAGTTTGGACGATATAAAATTGATAAAATAAAACTCAATTAGGCGAACCCACAAACTAAAGAGCTGTCCAAGAAGCACCTGAAGGAGCTCGTGCCACAGTTTGAGAAACAATAGGCTACTCTAATATAATGATGAACCATTGTCATCATTAGGCTACTAAGATGTGTGTACAATCCCTCAGTTGACTAGGTAGAATCCATGGCAAAAGGAGAAATTCAGTTTGTCAACTGGACAAAAGTTTATTTGGTCAAACACGTTTCACAGCTCATCCAAGCTGCTTCTTCAGTTCTGGTCAGATGCTGGTGGACACTGCCTTTTATCTGCCTGCAGGGAGGAAATAACTACGCTGAAACTACTCTGAAACTAACACACCTACTTGTTTACAGTTTCTGTTACTTAGCTAGGCCTATTGAGCTGTACTGAGTGTGGGGTCATATTAGCAGAATCATTCAGGGCCATAATGGAGCTTTCACAGCTCTGGGCCTGACCTGGCTATCTCTATTGTTTTCTTTGTTTGTTTTGATTTAGGTTTGAGGATGGAGAGTGTAAACAGGAGATGGATGGAGTTGTAAACAGGAGATAGATGGTGTCTGAGTCCTCCATTTTTGTTTAAGGAAGGGTTCTCTTCTTAAAAAAATAGCTTCTTTAACTCCCTCTCAAACCAGTTCTTTTCTCTGGCTCAGACCTGTACCTCACTGTCCTCAAAGGAGAGGCCCGTGGCTTTTAGGTGGAGGTGTATGGCACACTGAGGTCCACTGCTGCTCTCTTGTCTGTGCTGATACATCCTCTTGTGAAGTGGCTATTTTGTTTCTCCAGTGTAGCGCTCACTGCAGTGAATGGAGTGGACCACATTTTTGTTAAGAAAGAGAATTCTTCCTTAAACAGAAACGGAGGCCTCAGACATCATCTATCTCATTTACAACTCCATCCTCAAACCTAAATCAAAACAAACAAAGAAAAAAATAGAGATAGCCAGGTCAGGCCCAGAGGTGTGAAAGCCCTGAATGATTATGATAATATGACCCACACTCAAGTTCAATAGGCTGAGCAAACAAACTGTAAACAAGTAGGTGTGTTACTTTCAGAGTAGTTTCATTGTAGTTAGCTCCTTCCTTCAGACAGATTTAAGGAAGTGTCCATCAGCGTCTGACCAAAACTGAAGAAGCAGCTTGGATGGAAAAGTATTCGACCAAATAAACTTTTGTCCAGCTGGTTGACAAATTGAATTTCTCCATTTGCCATTGGGCAACTAAATCAAGAATAATAAGCCTAATGAATCTTACCTGCTCCGACAGCCACTGCACCGAACGTCGCTAAAAAGATCAAATAAAAAAAATTACTGGAAACGTAACATTCTGCCAATAAAACACCTTACATCAGGAGTCTCCAACCATTTAACTCCGGGCAGCTACTTTTACAAAACAAAAACCCAGAGAGCAACTAATTTTAGCCGTCCGCAAGAAAATTAGACGATTATACTTAAAGGTGTATAGAGGATTTTCCAAGGAACGAGAAATCCAGCGACTGTTTGTCCTTTTTCAAATGTTGCGCATGCGTGAAACCACCCCCCCTCCCCTACAGCTCCCTACGTAGAAACGCCTTCTCCCGCCTCCTCACTACGCCAGAAACAGGTTTGTTTACAGCCGGTGAGCTGCACATGACTTGTAAACAACTAACTACAGTGTTGGTTAGGCAAGGCGGAGAAGTGAGGAGCGGGGGGAGCGGGTGTGCGGACATTTCGTTCGCGGACGAGAAGTGAGGAGCAGGGAGAAGAGCGGAGCAGGGAGAGAGGAGAGAGGAGAGAGGAGAGGGGAGCGGTGCGCGGAATTCCGTGCCCGTAGAAGTGAGGAGAAGGGGGAAGAGCGGAACGGGCAGCGGGGACAGGAGTAGGAAAGGGGAGCAGAGAAGGTTGCGCGGAGATTCAGTGCGAATGAACTAGCTACAACACGCAGCAGCAAGCGGACTCTTTCTTTGCCTTGAAAATTACGTTTTCAGACATAGGATATCGCTTTCGTGTCCTGAAAAAACGTTTGACTAGCTCTTGGAAATAAAGTACGTTTTCATAATAAGCAGAAGTTACCTGTCCAGGAGTAATTTGGCGACCAATGCGTCAGTCTTTAGACCCTGCGTCTGCTTCAGTCGCGCCATCGCTGGAATGAATCTACAAGAATCACCTTAGTTTGGCTTCGCTGCTTTTCCCCTTGTCTTCTTCTTTCAGCGACCTCAAAAACGGACTTTCTTTTGCGGCTAACTGCTCCTGGATTCTTGTCTGCCATTGCAACAAACTTTGTGCTAACTGCGAGGAAGATATAGGTCAAAAAAAGCCGCTAAGAACTGTTGCATTGGTGGAGTAAACAGCGTCTGTGCGTCTTGCGTCTTTGTGGACTGCGTGAAAGGCGTACGTAAACCACGTACCGGCGGCGCGCAGGCAGGTCAGTTACGCTAGAAACGTAGGGAGTTTGATTGATAGCCTGTCAGCTAACAGATAACGAGGCCGTGTCGTTATCTATTGGCAAATGTTTAGCTGGCCCCACCACGTCCAGAGTTGATGAATTTTTATTCTCTTTTTTTGGTCATCATAATTACAAGGCTACTGCACCTCTATAATGCTATCATTGACAACTTGAAACAAAAAAACAAAAAAAAATCCTCCATACAACCTTTAGAGGGCAAGGTTACACTTAGAAGCCTGTAAAAACATAACCCTTTGTCCATTTATTAGTACACAATGTCCGTGGATGGGAGTGGAGCTTTCGAGCTACAGTTGGAGACCCCTGGCACAGACATAAGCTATGGTCCAAATAATGAAAAGAATAATACTCACACAAACGCATAATGATGATAAAGAGAATCTGGGTACACCCGAGTTGCACAAAAGGGTCCGACTCACTCTGCTGCCGCCCAAGTGTTGGTAATCTTTAACAAAAGAACGGTGGCCGACGAGGGACAAACTACAGCTTAAATAGATAGAACAGCTTTTAATAGATCCGTGTTTCAAGTACAGAAACTGAAATACAAGTTTAAACGAGGTACATACAAAAAACATGGAGCAAATAAAAAAACAAAAATCAAAAACAAACAAACAAAAAATAAAACTAAATAAATAAAACTAAATAAATAAATACTACCCCCCCGCAGTTACGCATGCGCGAGGGATCCAGGCCTGCCCGAGAAGATGCTCATAGCTGTGTTATGCAGGCTTATATTACGATACTATTAAAACGTATACTCGGTATAGCGTTTCACACTACTTTTAAGCACGTCTACATGGTGTAACCTGACAGACGAATCTCGATGTCTGTAGCCAATGCGAAACACAGAATACTAAACCCGGTAAGAGTCTTGTTCAGTATAGTAGGCTATTAGCAGCGTATAGATACCTAGAGCTAGACACATTATAACACCTAAAAACTCTAGATGACGTGTGTACATTTCGTAAATGTCATGTCCAGCACTTCAATGGCTGAGAGAGTGCGCTCTGAGTTCCATCTGTTTTATATAACCTATAAGGCGCACGTCACCTTTGAGCTAGTTTTCCTTTTATTTCTCTTCTCAGGTGATCCCGTACACAGGAGCCATACCTGGAGGCCTACACCCGGGAGAAGTCATCATAGTCCAGGGCACTGTGCCTCAGCATGCTGACAGGTAGACCTACCATGTGCATGTGGACGAGGGGATCACGTTTCATGTATTAACCTACATTCTCCAGTGTAATAAATCTTTGTTTTTACAGAGTAGTATAGCAACGATCTATAGCCTACTGATAGCCTGTATCTCCACCTTATTAACAAAATAGTGGAAATGCCTAGCAGTGAAGTACCTCAAACATTGTGGCTATTTCACAAATAAATCAAATCAAAGTAAGTAAGACAATTCTGCCACATTCACACAGGCAAGGTGGGCTGAAGTTTTTTTTTTTTTTCCAGGGCACAACTGTATGCCATGTACTGGAATTGAATAGACTGGTTATACATATATTATGTTACCACCTCAGTCACTGTTTAGCTTAAAATTTTAATCATAGTATTGTTGGATTTCAAAGTGATGAAAAGTTTGGCTAGTTGTCATTCTCATAGCAATTCAAAAATAATATTACATATTTTGAATGATCAGACATCCTGAAAATGGCACCATATAACAGTAACTTGAAACCCATAAACAGAAAGAGGAGCAAAATAATTTTTTTTACTACAAATTGCCCCAGAGGTCATCTGTGTCAGAATAGAAGAAACAGTTGGAGTTGTACTGTACCTTCCCCTGTCACGTGAATGTCTGAATGTCTGTTTTTTTTTTCTAGCTTTCAGATAGATTTGTCAAGCGGTTGCAGCACTAAGCCGTGCTCAGATGTGGCTCTTTGCTTCCGGGCTCAGTTCAGTGGCCAACTGTGTGTCATCTGCAACTCCCTGCAGAAGGAAAGTTGGGGCAAAGAGGAAACCATTTATCAGCTACCTTTCAAACAAGGAGCCCCCTTTGAGGCCCTTATATTGGTACATAAAAATGCCTTTAAGGTCAGTTATTACCTTATGTTTCAAAGATTGTGATGGGCAGGTGCAGATCATTTCAAATACTTGTAGGTGGCGGTGAATGGCACACACCTGCTGGAATACAAGCACAGAATGCCACTGAACAGGGTGGACACGTTTTCTGTTTCAGGAGACGTCCGGGTGTGTGCTGTTGGCTACATCCCAAGTTCAGTAAGTTATCTCTATCCTGCCCTCTCATAGATGAAGATATGCCGTTTGAGTCATTTGTTTACTTATGACTTTGTTTGGCTCTGCCCTGTTATAGGCAATATACTCAGAATCAGGTGACTTGGTGAGTTTTGCCTTATTTGCGTCATTCATCTTGGACAAAACATGGGAAGTGTCTTGTGATGTTACTAAATCTGACCTCAATGGCATCTTTGTGCAGTTTGCTGTGCTTGTTACTGCAGAATCACCAAATGTCCCAAAACAGCCTTCACATTAAATGTATTGAGTCACATCTGTAGTGGTGCAACACAATATTGCACTGCTAACCAATATGTATTGTATGTTTTTGCACACGTTAATTTATCAATTAATTTAAAGTTGTCTTTGGATATTACACAAGAAAGTTTAAGTTTATAGTGAAATGGAAAAAGGGTGTTCAAGTAGCATGTTACGCAATTGCAGCCTAAACAGAATTCAAACTATGTAGGTAGCGTGAGCAAAAACAATAGTTTCATACCAGATATGGCTGCTTGGTGCTCATGCTGTAACAATAGATTTGAGTTTTAAAATAATATTGCTGTTGTCCATCTATGCAAATGCTCATATAGCAAGAATACAATCCTGTATAATTTATGTACAGTAACTTTGAATCTGTTGTGCCAATGGGCAATAGAGACAGATCTATGTATATTTTTATTGGGTGACGTTAAATCAAAATAAATAAATACAAATTTGCCAATACTCAAACTTCGAAGTGGAGAGCAGCTATATATCTTTATAGGACAAGATTGAGGAGTTGTATTTTAAAATTTTCTAATAATTCTGAACATTTCAGAATCTCCCATACAAAGGTAGTATGCTCAATGGACTCAGCCCAGGGGAGCACATTACAATCAAAGGACAGGTCAGCATCTACCCTCACAGGTAAGGAACACAAGTATCCATACATGCGCATGTTTAATGTTAGGGTTTTACAACACTTTTGTATTACAGCTTCACTATTAATCTACGAAGTAGCCAAACAGAAAACATTGCTCTGCATCTTAACCCTCGCATAAAGTCAACCGTGTTTATAAGGAACTCATACCTGAGTGAATGCTGGGGGTATGAAGAGCGGGAGTTGCCCTTCTTTCCATTCTCTTCTGGGGAATACTTTGAGGTAAATATAATATTACTCCCAATGTGCAGAAACACTAGTTGGTACTTTAACAATCTGCATTTTCTTTGTAGATTCTCATTCTCTGTCAGCCCCATCAGTTTAAGGTGGCAGTGAATGGGTTGCACCTATTTGAGTTCAGACACAGAGTGCAGGACCTGAAAAGCATTGATCAGATTGAGATCATGGGAGATGTGGAGCTCATCGATGTCAAAGTGTGGTGATGTTCATCTCCTGAGCAGCCTACAACACTATTCTCTGTGCAACATAAACAGCAAGAACAAAGAATAACAATTCAAGTTCTCGTCAGTGGTGTGATGGTTTAAGGCGGTGCACATATGCGGTTACATCAGCTTCATGGGTTCACTTTCCAGCCTCAACCATTTACTGAATGTCTATACACTCTCTCTTCCCATTTCACGCTACAGCTGTGCTATCAAAAAGAATGATACTGAAAGACAGCCCTAATTTGTAATCAATTGTTTACAAGTAGAGTTCGCTCAAAATGTTCCATACTAACCTAATAGGAATGTATATAATGGGTTCACACATAGTGGTAAAAATCTGGATCAACATTAAAACAGAAGGCATTTATTTTGTTAAGTAAGTTCTTATGAACTCAACACTTGAAACATATTTAATTTTTTCCTGGAACATTATGATTAAAAAGTATAAACCAGTATTGATCCATCAGTTATAACATTTATAGACAACCCAGCCCTTTGCCCTAGTATGTGTGTAGTTGTTGAAAAAATAAACTCATGAAATGCATCAATAAACAACGGTCTGCTCAGTCATTTGTCACTAATCTTTACCACTTGTATCCACAAGATGGCACCAAACTACTGCTGCACCTTATATAAAGATGAGTTTGTGATAAGATGGCACAGAATTCTTAAAAAATACTTCATCCAGACATATCTGATAAAAAGTTTTATTAATATCCACAGGAAATATATTTTTGTATTTTTCTGTAATACCATGAAACAGTACAGTCTTATTTTCTTACATAAACGTAGAAAAAAACTCAACATGATATGCAATATCATGAAACCAATTGTTGAAATGCTGACTTAAAAGTCCAAATATGGCCAAACACATTGTCCAATCAGCAGGTTTGCTTTTCACAGAAAATGGCATTTTGTCTTGAAACAGGTCCTCTAAGAAGAAATTCCTTCGAGTGACTAAAAAGGTGTTGTCTATGGGCTAATTGGGCAAGTATCTCTCCCAACTCCAGCAAAGGCAAAACACTGGCTTGAGGGTATTAGTAGCAGCAGAGTAGACCACAGCTTATTCAGTTCAGCATGTGCTGTGGAGTCTGTGGCACAGGGGGCTGGGCGGGGGGCTCGGGGTCTGCCAGTGTCAGACTGAGCTGAGTTTGACCAGTCCTCTGACAGAGTCTTCGTGCAGGGAGTCCTGACTGGCAGGATTATAGAAGCCCGCCTGCACCGTGGGGCTGTGACCCATGGGGCTGCCACAGGGGAGCATGCCCGGCGGCGAGGGCACTTCCTCTGGGGTCAGGAAGTGGTGATGAGCCATGGGGTCTTGAAGGGGGTGTGTGTGGTTGTGGGCGTGGGGGTGCGTGTGGGTGTGGGGGTGTGTGTGAGTGTGGATGGGTAACATGTCCACAACTTCATGACAGCTCAGGCTCGACGTTGACGTGGGAGGAGTGGGTTGTCCGAGGGGGAGTGAGGTACAGGGACCGCCCAGTGACAGCGCTGTCCGACCACTCAGGATCCCGTTTTCTGGGGAAGCTGTCAGGATGACGGGCTCACTGCTTTGCTGCTGGAGGAGAGGGGTGGTGGCAGCCTGTAAAACGAATTTGGTGCTCTGAATGCACTGATCCTGATCACACTGAGCAGAAAAAGGAACAAAAACAGGATGGGGAAAGGATTGTGTGCATGAAAGAAAAGAAAAGACAAAGGGAGAGAAGAGAAACCAGATGTTAGTACTATTGTTAAAGTGCACAACCACACACCAGAAAGTAGCTCGTGCATCTGCCCCAGAAACAGCAGCCCAGTCAATGCAAACACACAGCTATCCAGTCTACCCTTCATGGCCTATTGATCTGCACCGTATTGCTTTGCAACAGAAATCACACATAGAAGTGGAGCACGCCAACTGGGTTAGGGCATGTAGCATTATCAATACCATACATTAGCTCCGGGCAGATTATCTTAAATTTGGTAAGCCTCTTTTTCACATGTGGAGAGGTGACAGGCATTACAAAAGTACTGGAACAAGAGAAGTTTGATAGTGTCCCCCATGAGAGCCACACCACAGCCTGAAATGTGAGCATTTGAATCAAACTTCCCAGAGCCTCACCTTTCAGTCTCACTGTCACTGACCTGGAAAAAGTACAAATTAGGATTTACTTGTCCTTCTCGGGAGTTTGTCCTGTGCGTTCGACCAACGCGTCAATATTGTTGGAGCAACATGTTGGAGTAGTGTCTGACTACAAAGCAGTCTATACGTATTTTTCTCCCAATCATAAAATAGGTTCATATTCTGGAGTACAGTCTCCAGAATGGAAAGACTCACGGAGGTGATAGTAAATGGGCCTGCATTACGAATCTACAATGAATCAAAATTCATAAATATAAAGGTATCAAGAGTCAAGAGTGATTGGTATAGTATATGGCACTGCACTGTGTGGGTCAGGTGGTATGTTGGTGCTCTTTTCTATCTGCTGATTTTCCACACTGAAGAAGACCTAATCATCAGCTTTAATAAGGCATGTTTAATCTGTCATTATTACAAGGTCACTGAAGGATGAGTTTGTTCCAGTGGATTAAGGAGGAAAGTGAAGAACAAGCTTAATGGCATCAGCATATTGTTCTTCATGTCTGTTCTGTCCATACTGTTCATCATGTACAGCATGTATTTATTATTATAAATGATTTAGTCTAACGGATCACATTTACTAGGCTGTTTATTATAATAAAATTGAAAAAAACAACAAAAACAGAAGGCAAGTCTCTTAACAAAATTGTCATTGAAGTTGAATTTTTTGATAGCATGTGCTTTCCTCTACACAAATCCAGGATGTAACATGATTTTGTCATGTTACACTAACTGTTACCGTGGCAACTCTTTCTGATGTCTCCGACATGCAGGCAGTGGCTTTCATGCTACATCAGAGAGATGCCTGATTCCAACGCAGCAGCCTTACATTTGTCAGCCATTAGCAATGTCAGCCAGCTTAGTGGCCTCAGTACATTGTTCTTCATGTCTGTTTTGTCCATACTGTTCATCATGTACAGCATGTATTTATTACTCTAAATGATTTAGTCAAAAATCAAAAGGAGTGCACCTAAAAATAGGAGATAATAGCTCTATTGTTGCTACATTTAAGCACCTGTCTGTCATGTTCAACATGTTATTTTTCTTACCACTATATTGCAAGTGTGTGTCATGATCTGCCTCTGAAAACAGATGGTGGTTATTTGTGAATGTGCTAACGTAAGGGAATGTTGCAGCAGCTCTCGAGCAGTGAACCAGTGCACTCCCCTCTCAGCCCTAAAGACTGTCGGACATGTCGGAGTGAGCTTTAAGATCAGCTCCAGATGAGACGAGGCTGCAGCTTGTAATGTGCCAGTAAAACAACACGGCAACAATGATGTCATTCAAAGGTTTAAACATGGCAGGGAGAAGAAATGATCAGACTTTTGATTTGGGAAAAACGTATAATTATATATATCATTTTAGAATTCTAAAATCATCAGACATTATTCCCAAACGTTCCTAAATGTATCACATTATTTTTTACATTAAAACTTTACTAACTGAATTCTGTTGCACTAACAGCTAATTTATTTTGTCCTATTAGTGATGGGGCCAAGTGTCCACTTAGAAGAAGCTTACCATGTGGCTCTGCTGGGACTGTGTGGCGCCGTACATAGTGATGCCGTTGGTTGGTGGTGCCATCTGCGGGGCATCTGATTGAATAAAGCCCCGTCTGTCGATGAGACTGCAAAGACAGAACAAGGAAACAGGAAAAAACATATGTCAAGAGTTACATTAACAATCTATTTAGGTTGTAAAGTCCTCCACAGTTAATCTTCAAAATGAAAATATTTGAGTTGGTAAATATTTGAATTATATATAAAACATGTGGTTTTTAGTGGTGCAGGACAATATTTATTTCAATAGTAAAGAGTTGGGATTTAACACATCCCACTAAAACATGGTCAAAGACTATAATTTCCTTCAAGTCAAAGGCTTTACACTGGGTAATTATGTTACGTCTGAGCAGAACTGTAGAGCAGAATCTGTACCAGCTGCTTGTGTAACAGTCAAAACTCTGTTGTTGAACATGTTAAGATGGCGAGTTAAAGAAGAGGTACAGTTACAAACTTTAGTCCTCCTTCCAATGCACAAAACAGTGGGTTTGTGGAGTCCAGGCTGCCTCCCTCGCTCCTGCCTCCAGCTGTGTGACGCCTGTGGCTGGCCACAAACATAATAAACAGACAGAGTCCAGATGGTGACCACCTGTGCGCCTGGACTCTGCTCTGTGACCCACTCTTCATGACTGCTGAGCTATGGCTATGGTCAGGGGTGACTAAAGCACAGTGCATGTCAAAATGTTTAAAAATCACTGTTAAATACCACAACCTGGAAACTGTCTTATCTCCTGGTATTGTATGATGGCTTGAAAAATATTTTTAATAGCGCACTTGAATCCATCTTGGACTCTGGACTAAAGACACTGGCTGAACTCTCCCTTAAATCACATGAAGAGCACAAGTGTGAAATCTAATCTATCAGAAACTTTGATCTTGACTTCAGTTAAAATCTCTTCTCCTTCTGCAGTGTCTTAGTGGATATGTATAGAGCCAAAGCTGGAGGCAGCTCTGCACATCAAAAGGAGTCTGGTGAATAGTCAGGACCACTTGGGTGACTGTGGAGAATTTAGAAATGAGACTATGTCTCAAGCAGAGTGTGTGTATGCTGTACCTGGGAGGCAGGGGTCCGCACAGCGCTGCACAGCAGTTGGTGAAAATATTTCCATAGCTGTAGGGATTGTAGTTGTCCTTCCCTCTTTTAGAAGACCATGAACCTTTAATCTGGGCAAACATAAACAAGAGTCCCAAATGAAGATGCCACACTCTGCCATTTGTGTTTAATGCTGTATGTGGCTTTAGATATATATGGACATACTTACATCTTCATTAGTGGTCTGGTTTGAGCTGATCAAGTAAGTATGGAAGCCTGAGAGGCCCACTATAGACCAGACTGAGAAAAAGCACACCACCACCTCCAGCACAGTAGCACAGCCTGTTAAGGTCTATTTACTTTGAGGGTTCACTATACGGTTTACTTTTAGTTAATAGAAAAAGCCGTTATTCATTCTGTGGAGCCAGAGCGAAGACTGGGACTTTTGCCGGTTCTAGCATACTGACCTACAGCCTAAGGTTGCTCTGCTCTTGCCAATAGTTCTACGTTACCAGCTCATTTGACAGGGACAACAGCATGCTTTCTGCACCACATCAAGAATACAAAGGCAGTTGAAAAGCTCTGCCTTTGTTAGTTTTTCAATTTATGAAATAAAAGATAATATATGATAAGAAGTAACTACAACAATGTGAATCTTTTAAAAAGGAGGTTTGGTGGTGCATAGCAAAAACATGACTAGGTCTGGCCTTTTGTCTTGCCATAAGTCCCTCTGAAATGATTCTGCTAGAACAGACGACACTGTTAAAAGTGTGCAGTAGGACACAGTGTTATGAGCTGGACCTGGCACACATAAGTCTGCCAGAGAAACAGTTATGTGCTTTTAAAGAAGCACAGCCCTTTAGAGCCAAAGGCACCAAAGAATTTTCAGGTGACACCAAATGATATCTCATTGCTATCTAGACCAAGTGTGCAATCAACAATTTCCACAATTAGTTTGAAGAAACAGCTATATTAACATGATTAAAAGGATATCTGGCTGGACTGTCTTTGAGTGCGTTGAGAAACCCACTGCTGTGTGACCCTTTGGAAAAACAAAGGGAAACAGAGTCATTTAGTTACATACATTGCACAAAGATGAAGAAAGCATCCTGAGCTAGGCCAGATCCGACCACCACACACCTGAAGAGTAAAGCAGCACACACTCTTTTAGAAGAGTGAGCGCACTGGGAGTGCAATCAAAGACCCCCAGTCAAACCCATCCCTGATGAAGGAAGGACAATTTGTCTAGCAGCCTTACACTTTAAAATTGACTTTTACTCTTTCTTTTTTGCTGCTGAGTGAAATTAGCCAGAAGGCTTCATAAAGTCTATATTGATACTGTAGATTTGATTTACACCCCACATACACCTACCTTTGGAAGACCACATTAAAACTCAAAAGAACTTAAACAAATATATACTCTATGCTAAAGCATGTGATTGACAAAAAACTATAGAAAAAAACCCATGGAGTTCTCTACAGTGGAATAGAAGTCATTCACCTGCTCTCATTATAGTCACACACAGCTCCCCAACAGTCCATGCTCACAGCTGGAGAGATGGTAACAAGCCAGAATACTGTGGTTTTTGCACAACACCAATTTACAACATGCTGCTTTCAAGATCTCTGGAAAAACAGCTCTCTGCAAATGTCCGACCTTGGGTACTTACGTAAAATGATGTGTGTGATGACGAAAGCGAAGATGAAGATAGTGAGAAAGGAGAGTGAGAGGATGAACATGTAGAAGAAGCGGTAGTTCCTTCTTCCGACGCAGTTCCCCACCCAGGGACAATGGTGGTCAAAGCGCTCTGCAGACAAGATAGTAGTAGACATACTTTTGATTTACATTTATTGTAAAATAGTACATAGTTCAAGCTCTATGAGACTTCATAAAATGAAAATGTTAAAGGGAGGGACAATGGGCAACTGAAAATGTATCTTAAGGGGCCACAGCATAGTTGATACCCTGAAACTTATCTTATTAGTTGATTAATTAAATTTTGACTTTTATAAAATATTTGACTGTGTTGACTTCATTACAAGAGATAGTGTGCTAAAATGTATATTATTTCAGTGTTGAAATTGCATTCATATATAGCCAATTATTATAATATGGAGACGTATAAGAAGGCTTTGAAAAAATAAAATATCTGAGCTTTTTCCGTAACATAATTGAGTTTGACATTATTGATATCATAATTTGATATATTGTAAGTACAACAAACTCTACAACTGCATCAAGGCCAGAATCTGAATAAATTGCTAAGCGCATGTAAACAAGAGAACAAGTAAATGTACATGTATAGTTACCACACACTTGTTAATGCAATGATTTTCTTCTTTGGTTGAAGGATTTTTCCTGTGAAAATCATGTCCTTGCAGAACACTCAAGACTGCACACTGCTGCACTCCTTAACTAATTATTCACAGCCTTTGTTTGTTTAAAGACATGAAGCAACCTACTTTTGTCTCCACTAATCAATGCTTTGCTCAAATGGTCTGGGATTGTATTTTCTAGTAATGGGCCCAGGAGAGGCCCACTTTTGGTTTCATGGATTGTATAACAAAAAAATAAATACTTTTTGTATATACCTGGTTTGCTGAATTGTAAATATATGCATCTACAAATTTGCAACACTAAAATGTAAATATAATCTCATTCAGACTAACCTATACTTTCTATAACACACCTATGGACAGTATGTATGTGTATAACACACTGGATGGTGTGTATTATTGTTTAGATCCCTGTTCCAGTCGTGTATCTAGCTTGCTTTGTGGGTATAGTAAAATATGCAAGAAGTGAAAGTGTGCCTTGTATAAGCGCTGCACTTTTATAGGCTTTTTCTATTGCTCCCAGTGGAATTATGCTCTTAAGAAGGAAGTTCTATCCATTGTGGCTGTTTACTTATTTAACAGGTTGTTGTTAGAGACCAGCAAAATGAGGAAACTTCAGAGTCAGTTTTTTATTACAGCATTTTAACTATTAGCAGCAGAAGTGGGATGAAAACAGGATTATTTTGCAGTTTAGCATTTTTATCTTCACGCTAAATTGGAGCACTGTAGTATTGCTTTTGTCTTGGTAAATAATTTGTACTTCTTGAATCTGTAAACCATTTCTTGTTTACAGCTGCTCATCTGCCCATCTAGTACGCTTTTAATTGAAAGACAGAAGATATTCAAGTCTTTAATTTGATCAGTGCAAAATGATCAGGAGCCATTTTGAGTTAGATTTGTTCTCTTTTATATTCATTCCTTGACAGATATTTATTTGAATAGTTTTCAGCTCCCAAATGTCTCATCACTCACCTACACAGTTGTCACAGAGACTGCAGTGGGAAGCCCTTGGTGGCCTGAAGATTTTGCAGGTGAAGCAGTACTTGAGTTTGACGGTCTGTCCATTGATCACCACTTCCTTGGTCCGAGGAGGAGGTCTGTAGCCGGTGCTGCCATTGGCCACATCTACAAAACAAAACAGTTAGCAAAAGTGAGTGAATATTTACATTTACAGCATTGAACAAATTCTTAAATAGTAACGAATTACGTGTGAAATCTCAACATGTTTACCGTTTTAAGCCTGTATATGGAAAACAATTGGGTAGGTACTTTTTTGGTACTGAATGAAGTTTTCCTAATAATTACATAGTATTTTTATTGAAAATATCTACAAATAAAACACTGGTTAAAACTGAACATTTATATTGTGATGTGATATTGCTCATTGGTGATATTATTAACTTTTTGCAATATACATATATGTATATTAACAATAGTACTTTAATCTATATCATTAAATATTACATGCCAATCTGAAACCCAGCAAGACCCTGTTTATGATCCCAGTACCTGATCCCAGAACCATAACTAACTTTTTCAAAATTTTGCATTTATAATTATCTACAAGAACAAAACTAAACCAAATAGTTATGAGATTTATTTGTGCAAACTAGTGGCTTTAGGTCATTCATTTAAGCTGGGACAGTTTTAGTAACAATGTCAGGAAAGGGAAAGTCATGTCAGTCATTAATAAACCCACATCATGTTTACAAATGAACACCACCTCTGTTTTTAAGCCAATACTGGATCATTAGTTCATGATCACATAACAAGCTAAAAATGAATCAGTTCTGCAAACTAATACAGTCAAAGCTGTACTGATAACAAGCTGAACAATTAGGGAAATCCGAGTGATTTTGGAATCCCCAATAGTTGAGAGACAGTGTGTAGTAGACACTGACAATCTTTGGGAGATCATTTACACAGTAGTCCATAGAAACATGGTGGTGTGTTGATAAGGTTTGTAGTGAGAGGATCGTGTGGGTGTTTGACATTTCCAGAGCAGAGCAGAGGAAACAGTCTGTTCGACTGTATTAAATTTGTCTCTATTGTTATCTGTGCCTCTGGAGCATTCCTTTTTCTTAGCTTTGGGGAAGAGAGTGCAGGGGAAAATTCACAGCAGGGTTTCATACAAGACACCATCAGTTTTTTGTCATTTAGACACTTTGCTCTTATTCTGAAATTTATATTGATGTTACTGGTTATTAGTTGGTTCAAGGACTGATTAATTAATTTAGCTTTTAATTCTGTAATATTGTGCTTTTATAATATTTAAGTTATCATATTATTAATAATTAATGTTTATGAACATGTTTTTATGTTAAAAGCATCTATTAGTGCATTACTTATAGGCTGACAGTATTAAAACAATATTTTGAGTCGCTGAGTATTAATCATAACCTATAACTGTACTACTAGTAAACAATGCACACTGCATCTTTTATTCTATTAAAAATGTACAATAATAAAGCTCTTTGAACAGACTCGGATGGGGTCATCTTCCTTTGGTCACAGGCTCTGGTATTTGTAGGGAAAAATGCTATATAGTTATGATCTATTCTGTTCTTCACAATCTATTCTGTGTATCACAATATTCCTCAAAATCAACTCAACTTGCGATAATAAAACCGCCAATTCCCGTCTTCCCCTTTATTGTGTGTAACTCTAAGCACTATGCAGCCAAGACCGACACTTGTGCTTGTGGTTCTGAGCAACATATTTTTTAAAAATTGCACCAAAATGCCTATGACACTGTTAAACCTTATGTATATATTCAAAAAAATGTTTGCGTTAGAGCAGTGACACCACAAATACGAGACAATAAAAATTACTCCAAAATACAACTTCCAAGTGGGATTATGATGAGGCGAAACCATTATACCCTAAACTACCAAACAAGGATATTGCAGATGTCATAATGCACCCTAACCTTGTTGGCTTGCACCCACAAGCAGAACTAAATAAAGATTCAATGTCAGCCAAACATGCGAGGCGTATCCTGGTGGGGTATAAAGGGAAACTAATTGCCATCTTGCTGCGTGTGAGGAGGAGAGTAAATGAGCCCCTCTGCAGCAGATTCAAACTACAAACAGAGCTAAAGTTGAGAGGGCAAACAACAACACCATGACGAACTCCACAATAAAAACAGGATAAAGACGGAATGAGTTAGTTACACAAAGTTATACGAAACACAAAAATCTTTTACTTGTGAATGGATGCTTTCAGCTCCCTCACTTGAAGCCAAAAAGCCAAACAAAACAGAAAAAAGGATGTCAATTTTTACAATTATTAATTTTCAGTCAAATAGATATCATTTTTCAATATGTGACTATCATGAAGTGAAGTAAATGTGACATCAATAGCAAGAAAGTGCAAGAACACAGGACTACCTATTTCTGGGGTCTAAACTGTGAAATTTTTATATGATTTTTTTTTAATTATTTATTATAGTATGACCCAAATAATCACAATTATTGATTAACCAATTACCCTAAAAGAAAATAAAAAAAACACAATCAAGGCTGAAAGTGCACAAAAACACATCGCCTCTACTGTTTCTTATTACACCCTGTAATATCCAAAGTATTGAATCTTCTGGGATCTCCTTGTCCAGTTCAGCGTTACCCAAACTGTGAAACAACAGTCTATGTCCCTATGAAATTAAAAAGGCTGACATCTATGTGTTGGGATACATAAAAATTACACAAACATTTTCTGTCAGTTAGTTAAATTTTAGCACTCGGAACAAGGAGACAGACATACTGAAGAACCTTTATAATAGAGCCTTTTTTTTTTTACTTCACTGTTCAGTCCATAACAATACATTCTAATAGAAGCATGACCCAGGGCGTGCTGATGTGATAAAGGGGACAAGGAGGAGGGGCTGCCATAGAACTGTTTAAGCACCGGTGTGAATTATGCGTCAACTGTCAGTGAGAACAAAGTATTATGTAGATGAATAGCCTTTGTCTCTGTAAATGAAGCTTTATGGACGTTAATTAAAGAAAGCTAATACTGAACGTAGCTGTGGTCTAACACCTGATATCTACCTTGTGAGATGTGAAATCACTTGGTCTTACACTTCCTGCCATATAACAGCATTTGCAAACCAGCTGACAGTAAGTACAAGAAAATGCTTTGGTATAAATAATAAATATTGGCTTTGTGCAGACCAATATTCAGGGCTGTGAGTCATTGTTCCCATTAGTCAGTTGCGCCATCCTACACACTAGTATCTCAGTATAAGAGCTTTGAGAAAAACATTAAAGGTCCTACGTATATTACGCAAAACTGACTCTTATGAGCTTTAAGCCATGTTATAATGCTGTTCCCTCATCAAAAACATACCTAGAGTTGTGTTTTGTTTCATTCACACATGTTTGAGTAATCCTTTCTTAATAGTCTGTCTACATCTCCAAAGCTCAGAATGCTCTGTTCCACCTTGTGATGTCATGGAGTGGTAGTTTTCAACTAACCAGGCTGGCGCCACCTAGTGCCTCCACTCAATTTCATTTCTCTCCAGCGACTAGATCAGGAATCGAGTGCGAGTCCAAGCACCAGTGAAGAGCCATACATTCTGTGATTCCTGAGATTGAGAATTTAAAGTCGGAACAAAGAGAATGTTTGGTGAATTTTATCAAGGGGAAAGACGTTATTGCCTTTCTTCCTACGGGATTTGGGAAAAGCTTAATATACCAGTTAGCCCTGTGAGAGGCACATTACATATGTCATGACCAAATAGCTTTGATTGGTTAAATAATAAAAGTACCCGCCTACTGTCGAGCGAACAAATCCTAATGCTGTGAGGTCAGACGGTTTCCACAAAGTGAAAGCGGCTGATGATCAGGCTAGTTAACAACTACCATTCATGTTTTATGTAGTTGATATGGGCAATTCCAGAAAGAAAGGAAGCAAGATTTGTGTGTTAAACATGAATGAAACAAAACATAAATACAGGTATGTTTGTGATGAGGAAAAATATTATAACACATATCAGAAAAACTGCTTCATATGAGACCTTTAAATAAAAAGTAAACCTTCATTTCAAACCAGTATTATGACCTCCAGTGACTCTCAACATTCTCAGATAAAAAGAATATTTTCAATCCACAGTTAAACCTTTTCCTCGTGGTTCCCCTGGACTACATGTACTGGAATATGTGTGTGTTTCCTTTTCCCACATGCGTCTACAGAAGACTGTCAGTTTGCACTGACAGACACCCACTCCTTCCTCACACCGTCAACTCGTCTGTGAATCACTGAATTCAGAGGCAATCCAACTGAATAGGTATTTACTGTAGAAAATATATGAGCTCTCTGCCATGTTTTAATGTTGTTCCCTCATCAAAAACATGCCCGAAGTGGTTTTATATGTCACCCATGCATGTTTGAGCAATCTTGCGAACTCTACTGAGAGCTATCCAAAGCCGCAATACAAGCCCAGACTTTTTGCTCAGCTCACAAGCTTAAACCTAGACGATCTCTGCAGTGCTCCCACCCATGCTCCTGGCCTCCTGCACAGCTATTTCTTCATACATATTACAAAACAATGCAATACATTCACAAACCTGATGTGATGTGCAGTAGGTTCATTAGTGGGATACACGCTGATAGTGTTGTGAAAGCGCTGTGAAGGGGGAGTGACTTAGGCTGAATCTCATTACACTCCTTGGCCATACCACTTTCCCCTACCCCTGTGTTTTGCTCGTTCATGTGTAGGGGTGTCCCAGTTACCATTATGACAGAAGGGGTAGGGGAAAGTGGTAGGGCTAGATACCCCTCTAAATGAAGATTTTTCAGAGGCATACTCCAAACCAAGGGGTATGAGTAATTCCTCAGAATGCCTTGCGAATCACCGGCAAGATGGCTGCTACCACGACCACAGGGACAAAAGAAGTTCACAAATTGTAGACGGCATGTTGGATTTTTGGCAAAAGCTCGTCGCGTCTGTTTATGTAAAATCTGGTGGAGACTACTGATGACGTATGTGATGGTTGAAGGGGTGTCCCAATTCATAGGGATTTACTTTCAACCCCTACCCCTTGCTTAGTTTCAAGGGGAAAGGGGTAGGGCTAGAAATTAGAAATGGGATTGGCCCTTAATGTGAGGGGAGCATGGCCTGATTCATCAGCCGGTTTCACTTTGTAGAAACTGTCTGACCTTGCAGTGTTAGAATTCATTCGCTTGAGGGTAGGTGGGTACTTTTTTCATTTAACCAATCGCTGTTATTTGGTCATGACATATTTAATGCACTGCTAACGGGGCTAACTGGTATATTAAGCTTTTCCCAAATCCCGTAGGAAGAAGGGCAATAACGTATGCAGATTTGGGATACTACTCAAGCCAGTGAGCTGCATGTGGTTTGGCTAACATCTTTCCAATGTCCAAGCCCTCGTGGGGACCAGAGTGCTCTCCATGGTGACGGGAATCTTTCTTAGCACTTTGTAAAAAGCTTGCTCATCTGCCCAGAAGCATTTTAAGAACTACTGACTGCAGATGTGCCGTTTGTCCTTATGAAAATGAGCTGGCCAAATCACACTTTGAAAATAATAAATAAATCTGAGGAACTGAGCAAAATGTTACTACAAAACTGAAGCCTATTAGTGCTTTTGTTTGTGATCAGATGTAGAATCCATAGATAAAATAGGTAAAAGAAAGTACCAGTTGTAGTATCACAATAAAAGCACATTCATGCCTGCTTGATGGTTTGAATAAAACAGAATTTGGAAAACCAACACTTAAGTAAATCTAAAGAGAACTAAAAACAACCCACAACAAGCAATACAAATGAAGAGAGCCCAGAAGTAATGAATCAAACATATATTCATCTCCCGCGTCTAAAAACTCAGCTCTGGGCAACAAAACAACAACACAGTAATAATAATCATTTGCCTGTGAGCAAACATTCCAATTGAGAAGTCGGCTATGCTAATGCTAGTCCCAGCACAAGAGCCAATCATGGGGGAAGAGCTGGAGGAGAGAGAGGCCGGCTGGTATTTGGGTCAATGTTGTTCATATTTTCAGCCTGTAATTTGTTTATCCTCATCAAAAAGACTTGCCAGTGGATGATGGTTCTTGTGTGCAATGTTGTTGATGGCTTCTCAGAGTAAGCTGTATTAAACTTCTCTCCAAAGCTTTTAAGTCCTCTAATGAGATTAATTAAGCCAGTGCAGACTTTGTTTAATGAGGCCCTAGTGGTCTAAAGCACGGAGAGGCTGATGGGAAGGAGGCTGAAATGTCTCTTAAAACCAGAACGATTTAAAAAAGGTACAGTATACAACTTTCTAGAGGTAGCAGTAGCACATCCCCTGAACGATTCAATGGAAACAGAAAGTTAAAACCATACTTTGGAACATTTTACATGGAGATAAGAGTCAGGTTTGTGGAGATGCAAGCCTGCTCACAGTAGGGACACATATTTTCCAGTGCAATAAAAAAATTAAAATAATAAAAGAACATGATTCTATTTTAGTCATTTTTTGGCTAAAAAGTTATATACTAGTGATCAGCCAAGTTTTTTTTTTTTTTAATGACAGATATTTTTGAGCTGAAAAGGATTATTTTCTCCAAAGTATATAATTTTAATTTATTATAAACTCACTCTCAGCTCTTTTTCATCATAAACCCTAAGAGAGCTGTTAGGTCACATTTTGTGCAGTACTCTCTTTGGACTTAAGTATTCAAATGAAGCTTTATACATATTTTTAGGCAGTCGGTGAGCGCAAACCAAACATCGGACTCTGGTGGAGATACCGGCCTACTAGATACTGTGGCTAAAATCAGGTTTTAAACAGAAGATAAAGAAGACAAAAATAAATTTAAGCCAGCATGACAATATTGTACAGCCAAGTCGTGTTACATGGAGGATTTTAGTAGCTATACTAATGAGTAGAGATGGGAATCACAGGTCCCTCATGATTCCATATGACACACAATACACGGCCCATGATATAATAATGTCACGACATTCATGAGTTGTTATTCAAGTATATGTGTCTAAGTGTCAGTAAGTAGTAAAGAATGATTTTGAAATTTAGTCGATATTACAATACTCATGATTTGGTGCTGAAAAATATTGCATTTTATCAGACAGGACAATTTTTCATTTTAAGAAGTAAAGCTCCCAAAATGTCCATGAATGTCTACAGTCATTTAAAAATAGAGCTGTGCAGTTAATCAAATTTTAATTGAAATCAAGATTCATTAATTTCTAAACGCACAAAGATATGCTTTGTGCTCTTTTCATCAAGAGGGCTACAGCCAGGTCTCGGTAGAATCATGTAGTTTGGAGCAAAGTTCAGACTATTTTTGTGTTTAAAGGCAATAATCAACTATCTTGTTTACCTTGCAGTAATGAATGAGAAAAGACATTTTAATTGTTTTCTATATGACTAAATAAAATCAAATACATAACTGTTATAGGTCAATACCAGAAAAAATCCTTACTCCCTATTTAAAATCATAACTTTGCAAAAGTAAAGATCCAGAGACAAACAAAAGGTTTCTAAGATGTGCTGTAGAGGGATTATCAGACTACGTCACTTCGCCACTGTCCTGTCTGGTATCATGTCAGTGTCTTGTAGGATTTCAGCAGATTTCAGGCTTTCTTGGGGGCTTGGCTACTTGTATCGATCAGGTATGAATGTTTGTATGGCTAAAAAAATTTGAGCCATTTCTTCTCGTGATTTACACAATCACCTGCATTTAACGCGTATGGGCCATTAAGACATAACCCACTAATGTTAAATTAGTATCATAACTTATTTTATCACACAGCGATAAACTGTGTTGACAACACCACTAACCGCACAGACAGCGGCGCTTTCTGCACTCAGACTGTGTGTGCATCTGCTGTGTTGATAAACAAATAATCTATATGATCCTACCTATCTGCCTCTCGAGGTCTGCTGCTTCGTCTGGCGTGGCCCGGGGCAGGACTCCGGGATCACTGAAACTCGTCCGCAGCAGTGAGCCCAAAACAAAGAGGAACAGCACCCCTCCTATGACCGGGATGATCGGGGTCAACTGGAGAGCCAGGAATGGACAGCTGTAACACAAGAGATCACATGTGAGAAAATGTGTGGGGGAAAAAAGTTACATATAAGGGACACAATATAAAAGGTTAATGCTATGATTATTGTGACAAAAAAAACACATTATTTGCATTTATTTCATTTATTTTTATTGCTGCTATGTCCAGAGAACAGCACCTTAATGTTCTTTCATTCAGGCTGTCTAAAATATGACGATTCCTTAAGTATGTTACCATTTCTTAAGATTACTTTGACCTCAAAAAGCCTGATTATCTTAACATCCTGCGGAAGGGGTCTGGTTGTATTTTGCATTATTTGTGATTCTTTGGCCATCAAACAGGAAATGCCTATAATCCATCACACACTTAAAGTCTGTGCTAATGACACAATTGAGAATAATCCTGTTAAAGCTGAGCCAGGGTGGGTTTACTATAATCACATAGAGTCTCATGAGGTGGACCGCAGCCTAATGAACTTCTCTTACAGTCTATGGAGAGTAGGGGTCAGTGCTGAGGTGCCATCCCAGAGCAGAGGGACAGGTCCACATGTGGAGAGCATGTGTTTCAGGCAGCTGTAGGGAATGCAAAACAGCCTCTACGAATACATCTTTTCATTTACTGACATCACACGTGAAATGCAATGTGCTCAGATCTCATAATGATTTCATAAGGTAAGAAGCACGGCAATCTATTCTACACTACAAATTGTGCTGGCTTATAAGGGATGTCTTGCCAAGAATAACTGCAACTAAATTTAGGTTTTGCCACAAAAGCCTGTGGGAGGGACAGGACGTGTGCTGGAGGTGTCCGGTCTGAGTGTGGGCTGTGACGGTGGTGAGAGGAAGAGAGGTCACAGTGATGAAACATTAACTATTTGGCTTTGGGTGGGTCATATTTACTTACTTAAAATCTAATGTACAAAAATTTGTTTGACAATCCCACACTCAAAACACACAGGGTGAAATTGGATGCATTTAAAAGATAGTTGCTTCTTTAATGCTTAAGATGATGAAGGCCAATCTAACACCTGCACAACCTGAGTTCACACGTGCAGTGTGGACACCTGCTGCTCCCACATCTGGACTGAGCCTGCCACATGAAGACACTCAGGATACTTTTGACTGGAACATCAACAGGGGAGCACAGAGCTATACAAACGTTACACTGTGTACTGTACAATGTATTGGAAGATAATTGAAAAATAATAATAATAATAATCAGAAAGAATGAAACTGATTAGGGATGTAACAATATCCAAATCTCTCTGTATGATATTTTCACGATATGCATCTCACAGTACGATATTTATTACGATATTTTGTAGAGGCTAAACAGCTAAAACTGTCAATATGCTAGTTTTCCTCTTAAAATGCCTTGACAAGACTTAATCCAAAAAACTAAGACTTAAAAGTGCTTAGAACTGTATTTCTTTATGTAGTCTGCACTGAAATGGAGCAAAGGATCATGGTCTATGTAGTTCCCTATGTCTTTTTTATTTAGCTATTGCTGCAGCATAACTTTTAATTTCAGCAAAGAGACCTGTAATTCAATATATTGTGATGGTCCACGATATTATTGTGAGAACTTTGACGATACGATATCACGGTTCAGTTATTGTTACATCCCTAGAATTGAGAAATGAAATATTTAATTTATAGCTGCCTAATGCTGACTAAAGCCCGTGCAATGCCAGTTTATTGTCCTGACTCCAACAATGTACCTGTTTATTTAAAAAGAGCTTTTTCATATTTAAATGTGACCACATATCTGAGCTGACTCTTTTATTTAGTCTCTATTTTACCTGGAAAGCCCCACAGTGATTCAGAATCTTACAGTGAATCTGGTTTCTATTATTGTATGCTATTATGGCTAAACCAAACCTCAAACACACAAATTACTTGGTTAATGTTACTGCACAACAAAAGCATGGATGATTACGAATGTAGAGGTAACTGTAGCAGTGTCTGTAGTCACTGTCACGAGCAGACTATTGACAAGCCCTACAATGATTCAGAATTTCTTTTGCAGTGAATCCTAGTCTCTATTATTGTTATGGCTAAACCAAACCCCAAACACAAACGACTTGGTTAATGTTACTACACAACAAAAACACGGATGAATACCTAAGTAGAGGTAACTGTAACATTGTCTGCAGTCACTGTCATGAGCAGACTATTGACAAAACACGTTCTCATTTATTTTTGATTGCTCACATCTCACTTCATGAATCGATAAAATTAAACGTGATATCGAGTCTTTAGGACGGGTGTAAAAATCCTGGCAGAACAGCATTGTGCAGTCATAGTTACGTGTTTGTCAGGAGCACTTAAGGTGAAATGCGAGTTTATTTTTTTTTTTAATCTCATCTCTATTTAAAAAAAAAGAAAAAGAAAGGAGTTATAGATATGAGCTCTACCTCTGAGGTGTGGGTGGGATAGTCTAATAAAAAGGCAGTCGCGTGGAGAAAGCGTCAGGTCAGGAGAATCAGACGATGATTAAAGAGTGCAGCCATTAGAAGCGGTGGCAGGCAGCACAACAAGCTTCACAAATTACTATCAATATGTGAACAGGGATCAACTGGCGGCGCGCAATTCACTTGATTTTTATGGGCTTTAGCTTATTAAAACCGTGACTAATTTCTGAATTGGCTTTTCAAAGAGACGTCCTAATGCACCAGTAAATGTCACAACATACTTTGGGCTTTAGGGGCTTAGTTGCTATAGAGATGGGCAATACCTAATGTAAGAAATGGTAAATTGTGAAAGAGGATCTGGTTACCCTGGAAACAGACACACGAGAGAACGGAAGAAAAATCAAAGACACAAAATGGTATGTTCAAAAATACTTCACTTGATGGGAGTAAGCGTTTATTTGGATGTGTTTAATGTGTCCCAGTCGCCGGTGTGGTTAAAATTAGGTATGTTTATGAAATATGATCTGGTTTTCAGGGTACAGTTTGTCCTCTAAGTTTCAGGTGTTCTACGGTCATATTTTGGCTTGTTCTTGATAGATCATTAACAAATCACCTTTTATGCAAACAGACTGCACTCTGTCTCATTCCAGCACTCACCACAAAATCCTTTTAGCAATGCACTATTATTATCTTGTTAGTTTAGATTAGAATATACATCTTTATTCATCTGAAGAAGAAAAGTTGAAACTCTTTCTCTTAAAAACACTGACCACAACAATGCACAGTTTTTTTCTTTTCTTTTGCAATAAAATAAATAAATAAAAGGCTGTCATAAATCATTATTATGGTTCTTACTCACTGGCTAACCATATTTTTCCAATTAAATGCTTACTGAAACATTTGTTAACCCTGTAATAATGGATTCTTCGAAAGTCTATAATTGTTTTCCTGCCTTCTATTGTATGATATATCATAAATGCTCCAACAAAGGAACAGAAACTGAAACACGATTCGCTTGCGTACTTATCATAATGACTAACTGGGCCTGTTTCAGCGTAGGTGTGGCTGTATCCACTACGTGCATGACCTGAATGTCTAGAATCTCCATCGCAGCGGCCACTATCTCAAGAGAAAGTCTTCATCTTTGTTACCCTTTCACCCCTTGCGCTGAGCTAATCTGAGCTATAATCCAACCCAGATTACCATTATCACATTTCTCACTAAACCTCTTACGGCGGCCACTGGCTTTTCACAATCTCAGCTGGAGCCGGAGTCAGAGACCTTTATCTCAGCGTGAAGCCCAGTGTGATGGTTCTTCTCTTGACAACGCATGTCCTTTCTGAGTCACCTGGGTTCAGCCACACCCACTCCCCTTTCATTCTGTGAAGGCCATCTACCAAATGGAACTGACAGCTACCAGAGGAAAGCATCAATACGAGTGCACAGTGTGTAGTCGACACATGTGCTTAGTAAAATATAAATGCACAAAGAAAAAATTGAAGTATTCAGTGGATAAGGACAGGCCTGTGCAAACACCTTGCAGGTTATCAGATTAAGGTTAAAGTACACTTTAATGTCACCGTAGGGAAAATTGTCTGGACCAGATCAAATTAGATCAAAGCAATTTGTGTTAACCTATAAGAAATATTTTCAGGGGTAATGTTAGTGACTACTTTGTGGATCTGGTAGTAGAAGTAGTTCAAATAGGCTCTGTAGACCAAATACCTAAAATGTGTGGATTTACTGAAATGGTTGGCCATGGTTTTGCAAATACTCACTGTGAATTCCAACATGTAGTCTTTATCTTATGTGGCTAATACAGATGTAACAATAACCAAAATATCATGATACTGTATCGTCAAAAGTCTCACAATAATATCGTGGACTGTCAAAATATATCAAATCACAAGTTTCTTTGCTTAAATGCATGGTTTTATAGTAGCAACAGATTATATAACATAGGGAACTACATATCCCGTGATTAATTTCAGTGCAGACAACATGAAGAGATATGTTTTACTTGAATTGTTGGGATTATGATGGAAATAATTCACACCAAAATCTTGTCAAGGTATTTTAAAAGAAAAAAAAAGTCCCATCTACAATTATATGAGCCATTACAGCCGTACGTGATTAAGGTGTGAGAAGTCCAACTACAATCTTGTCCATTTATTTTGCAATAACTTGATGTCTAATGCTAATTAAAAAATGTAATAGAAATGAAAAACAATCAGCATTCTTTCAGTTCTGCATTCTCATTATTAAGATAATAGGTTTATCGTGAAGCTGAGCAGAGCCTACCAGTAAACTACTGCCGAGAAGTCTTTAAACAGGTTCATAAATCAGTAAGCACTCTATTATTAAATACTGATGTATGTGCACGTGAGGCCAAGTAAACTAAAAGCTTTGTGGCACTGGCAGAAAGTATTTTCTTTAGAGGGAGTGACAGGGCATACAGTACGGCATGCATACATTTACACTGTTAAATTACACTCTCCTCTGAAAGCAGAACTGGGCTCTGGAGGAATGCTTTTCTAAGGAAACCTCCACAATGGGCGTGACTGTTCAAATGATGTGGACAAAGACTCGCAAGCAACTGCCA